CCGATCCCGGAGATCCCCGTATCAGGGATCTCAACGCGGAGATTCGGCAACCAATAAACGTACATAAGCGAAAGAAGTGGGAAGAGCATCTGAAGACCTGCAACTTCACCTCTGGTGTGAGTAAGCTTTGGTCAACCGTGAGGTCACTGTCCAATCCGACGAAGCACGACGACAGAGTCGAAATTTCTTTCGGCGACCATGCTTCGTCGGACCCGGAGCGATGCGCGAGCTATTTTAGCCGGCAGTTCATACTGCATCCTCCGGTGGACAAAGCCAAGCGTCGAGTGACCAGACGGCTGCACATACCGCCAACAACCTGTGCCCCCCTTGCTTTCAATTGCGTTGAGGTTCAGGTGGCCATCGGGAAGGCGAAAGCCTCCAAAGCCATGAGTCCCGACGGAATATGCATGATGATGCTGAAAAATTTGGGTCCTGCGGGGGTAGCGTACCTAACGGAGGTCCTCAATTTGTATATGCCCACTCTCATCATCCCAAACATCTGGAAGGTGGGGAGAGTGGTCCCAGTGCTCAAACCGGGGAAACCTGCCAATATAGGAGATTCTTATCATCCGATAACACTCCTTTCCCCGGTAGCGAAGACACTCGAGGCCTTGCTACTCCCGTATTTCACAAACCACTTGACCCCAGCGAAGCATCAGCATGGTTTCCGTAAAGTGCACAGTACAATAACAGCACTTAACGCCATAAACACTCAGATAACTCGTTGGACCTGTCAAAGGCTTTTGACACTGTCAGCCATTCCACGCTACTAGAAGATATAGAGGCTTGCTCTCTCCCACAGAGGCTCAAACGGTGGTCGGCAAATTATGTAAGTGGTCGACACTCGTCGGAAATGTTTAGAGACAAATCGAGCAAACTTAGGAAAATACAACAGGGGGTTCCACAGGGTGGTGTCCTTTCCCCACTACTGTTTAACTTTTACATTTCAAAGCTCCCTCAACCACCAGAGGGAGTTGTTGTTGTTGTTGTTGTTGTTGTAGCACTCGTCGGCGTAAGATACAATCGAGACTCCACACAACCCTAACGGCGTCGTCCCTATGGACCGGCCCCATAGAGGCTGCCCGCTTCTTGGGGCTGCCGTTAGTGGAACTCGACGACAACGACTGTGATATCAGCCGATCTGTGCGGGGTTGTTGTAGCCGCTACAACAACAACAACATTAGCAGATGAATGTGCTAATGAAAATCGTAAACGTGAGTTGTTGGTGAAAATAATGGACCGAAAATTTTCAATAAAAAAATTAATACATTTTGGGCGAAGTCTGCTAGTTTAAGAATAATTTCTGTTTGAAATATGCACTTTTTTATGAATTTCGGAGTGGGTTCTGCGCAAAAAACTGGGGTCAGCCTAGCGGAAGTTGATCTTTAGAGGGGTATTTTGATCCTCAGGGGTTAGTAGAGGGGTTAGAGAGGTTGAGTTTTAGGTGACACACCCCCTTCGGCCTCCATCGCAAATCCACTGTACAAATAACAACATATTTCCCAGAATAACAATACTTACACATTTTTAAACTGGAGCTAAATCTTTTGTAACTTACATCAAATTTTTACCCGACTTGGTCCACCATTCAATCATAGCTTGCGCTTTTTCTTCCAGTGGTATGTGCGGATTCACCTCTATCGGCCGGTATGTATCATGTAACTCACGAGCTTCTTTCACGAAGTTCACAGGAAGCGATTTACACTCCTCAAAAATATTAAAGCTACTCGGTACGGATGTTCCATTGGCAGTCCGCTGCTTTGTAATGGTATAATCAAAATCCGAAACTACTTGTAACCTTTCATGGCCACCCGCCACGAATTCGTTTAGAGTTTTTTCAACTCGTTGCCTATCTTTGATTTTACAATTTTCGTTGTTGAGGATGGGTATATCTTCTAAACGTAGGGGTTTTATATGTGGCAAAGCAACGCTATTGTTATCCGGAAATACTTGTACATCAGACATTTTATCAAAAAGCCTTGTGAAGGCGACGCGAATCCGGGGAAACAGCTTTGAAATTTTGAGAGTTGAACACTTCGCAAAATTTTGCCTCCCAATTTTCTTGGTTTTTTTTTCTTTTATTAAGATGTTACAAATGCATGAGGCTCTGATACAACTATGGCAAATTTTGTCTAGTTTTAGAATCGAAATCAAATCAATATCAAATTTCAGAACATGAATATGTATCTGCTCGTAAGCAAGCGCACTGCAACTTTATAAAAGCAAGTTATGTAATTTTGTGTCAGAAACTCAATGCTAATAAAATTATTGTTTATTTTCTTAAGCCTTTATATTTTCATTATTTAATTTTTAACTAAACCATATAGAAAATATCCACCAACTACAGCTGTTTCTATAGCAGGTAGAGTTGTCAAACTATCGATGGCACTAACGATAGTATCGATAGTTTCAATTTTTTTAGACTATCAATACTCATTGGGCGAATTCATAGTCCAGCAACTAAGTCGAAACTAACAAAGTTGCAACTTAAATTTAAGTACCAACTTAAAATTTACCTCTATTCATAGTCGCATTTCAGACTTCTACTAAGTAGTTTCGACTTAGTTTACGATATAGCAAAACGAGTGTGAAAAATGTATCGATTTTTCTTTACGATATTTTGGAAAAATTACATTTTTATTAAATAATATCAAGTTTGATCATCCGTTTATGTAATTTTTATTTTCATTGCATGATTATGCAAAATAATAAGGTATCGTTTTCTTGTTAATTGTGTGAAATAGCCAGAACAACCGCAGTGATGTGAAGTCGATGTTTATCGAAAGCATGCTGTGAAACATACAAATAGTAGATATCTAAATGTTATGCACAAATTTACTTTAAAAAAACTAGCGTGAAACTGACTTATTATTTAAAAATTTATCTAAATTATTCCAATTATAAAATTGTGATGTAGCTTTATTCGAATTGTAATAAGCATTTAATTTCATCTTCCGATTAAAATGGATCGATCTTTGTAAATTTTAATCTGAGTTTATTCAATATTATCAAAATCACCCTCTACCAACTTAATTTTTACATATTTCGTCTGTTTTCCCTTAATTTGATAAAATACTTCTTCCTACAGGTCTATTCTGCGCTGGTAATAAAAAGTTTTTAACCGGTAAATAAAGTTTTTGTCAATTCCTAACCCTTTTCGCATTCTGTGTACTCTTGTAACCGGTAAATTTTGTTGCCATCTCATAAGCTGGTAACAAATTATTGCCCCGTGAGTCTGCTAGTTACGACTTACAGGTCTATTCTGCACGTTACCGAAGATTTTGTAACCGAAAAATTGTGTTACCAAAAAATGTTACCAGTTCTTGTCACCGCGATTCTAGGTACGTTGGTAATGCAGTTAAAATATTCATCAATTCAGCTATGAAGAATTGTGCAAATCCTGGCATTGCATATTTCACGGGGCGATAATTTGTTACCAGCTTATGAGATGGTAACAAAATTTACCGGTTAGAAGAGAATACAGAATGCGAAAATGGTTTAAAAAGGGGCACCGAAATTGCGCATATGGAAACTGTGCATTTAGACATTATTTCGGTTTCAACCGAAACTGTGCATGTATGCTTTATTTCGGTTTTTACCATATGCATTATTTCGGTTTTAAACCGAAACTGTGCATGTATGCATTACTTCGGGTTTTTCATATGCATTATTTCGGTTTTCAACCGAAACTGTGCATGCATGCATTATTTCGGTTTTTGTTATATGCATTATTTCGGTTTTCAACCGAAACTGTGCATGCATGCATTATTTCGGTTTTTGTTATATGCATTATTTCGGTTTTCAACCGAAACTGTGCATGCATGCATTATTTCGGTTTTTGTTATATGCATTATTTCGGTTTTCAACCGAAACTGTGCATGCATGCATTATTTCGGTTTTTGTTATATGCATTATTTCGGTTTTCAACCGAAACTGTGCATGCATGCATTATTTCGGTTTTTGTTATATGCATTATTTCGGTTTTCAACCGAAACTGTGCATGCATGCATTATTTCGGTTTTTGTTATATGCATTATTTCGGTTTTCAACCGAAACTGTGCATGCATGCATTATTTCGGTTTTTGTTATATGCATTATTTCGGTTTTCAACCGAAACTGTGCATGCATGCATTATTTCGGTTTTTGTTATATGCATTATTTCGGTTTTCAACCGAAACTGTGCATGCATGCATTATTTCGGTTTTTGTTATATGCATTATTTCGGTTTTCAACCGAAACTGTGCATGCATGCATTATTTCGGTTTTTGTTATATGCATTATTTCGGTTTTCAACCGAAACTGTGCATGCATGCATTATTTCGGTTTTTGTTATATGCATTATTTCGGTTTTCAACCGAAACTGTGCATGCATGCATTATTTCGGTTTTTGTTATATGCATTATTTCGGTTTTCAACCGAAACTGTGCATGCATGCATTATTTCGGTTTTTGTTATATGCATTATTTCGGTTTTCAACCGAAACTGTGCATGCATGCATTATTTCGGTTTTTGTTATATGCATTATTTCGGTTTTCAACCGAAACTGTGCATGCATGCATTATTTCGGTTTTTGTTATATGCATTATTTCGGTTTTCAACCGAAACTGTGCATGCATGCATTATTTCGGTTTTTGTTATATGCATTATTTCGGTTTTCAACCGAAACTGTGCATGCATGCATTATTTCGGTTTTTGTTATATGCATTATTTCGGTTTTCAACCGAAACTGTGCATGCATGCATTATTTCGGTTTTTGTTATATGCATTATTTCGGTTTTCAACCGAAACTGTGCATGCATGCATTATTTCGGTTTTTGTTATATGCATTATTTCGGTTTTCAACCGAAACTGTGCATGCATGCATTATTTCGGTTTTTGTTATATGCATTATTTCGGTTTTCAACCGAAACTGTGCATGCATGCATTATTTCGGTTTTTGTTATATGCATTATTTCGGTTTTCAACCGAAACTGTGCATGCATGCATTATTTCGGTTTTTGTTATATGCATTATTTCGGTTTTCAACCGAAACTGTGCATGCATGCATTATTTCGGTTTTTGTTATATGCATTATTTCGGTTTTCAACCGAAACTGTGCATGCATGCATTATTTCGGTTTTTGTTATATGCATTATTTCGGTTTTCAACCGAAACTGTGCATGCATGCATTATTTCGGTTTTTGTTATATGCATTATTTCGGTTTTCAACCGAAACTGTGCATGCATGCATTATTTCGGTTTTTGTTATATGCATTATTTCGGTTTTCAACCGAAACTGTGCATGCATGCATTATTTCGGTTTTTGTTATATGCATTATTTCGGTTTTCAACCGAAACTGTGCATGCATGCATTATTTCGGTTTTTGTTATATGCATTATTTCGGTTTTCAACCGAAACTGTGCATGCATGCATTATTTCGGTTTTTGTTATATGCATTATTTCGGTTTTCAACCGAAACTGTGCATGCATGCATTATTTCGGTTTTTGTTATATGCATTATTTCGGTTTTCAACCGAAACTGTGCATGCATGCATTATTTCGGTTTTTGTTATATGCATTATTTCGGTTTTCAACCGAAACTGTGCATGCATGCATTATTTCGGTTTTTGTTATATGCATTATTTCGGTTTTCAACCGAAACTGTGCATGCATGCATTATTTCGGTTTTTGTTATATGCATTATTTCGGTTTTCAACCGAAACTGTGCATGCATGCATTATTTCGGTTTTTGTTATATGCATTATTTCGGTTTTCAACCGAAACTGTGCATGCATGCATTATTTCGGTTTTTGTTATATGCATTATTTCGGTTTTCAACCGAAACTGTGCATGCATGCATTATTTCGGTTTTTGTTATATGCATTATTTCGGTTTTCAACCGAAACTGTGCATGCATGCATTATTTCGGTTTTTGTTATATGCATTATTTCGGTTTTCAACCGAAACTGTGCATGCATGCATTATTTCGGTTTTTGTTATATGCATTATTTCGGTTTTCAACCGAAACTGTGCATGCATGCATTATTTCGGTTTTTGTTATATGCATTATTTCGGTTTTCAACCGAAACTGTGCATATATGCATTATTTCGGTTTTTTTCATATGCATTATTTCGTATGCACAGTTTCCATATGCACAATTTCAGGGTGCCGTTTAAAAATTTACAGGAACTTTACTTACCGGTTACAAACTTTTTATTACCAGCGCAGAATAGACCTGTTAGTTGCAGCTGCCGCTGAAACTAAATTTTAAGTTGATACTTAGCCAGAAAAGTCGAAACTAAGGCTATGAATAGCTTTAGTTGTGACTTAGAATAGTTTCGACTTAGTTGAGTACTAAATATGACTATGAATATGCGCCATTGAAAGTTTTTTCTTATGCTATCAAAAATATCGATAGCTTAGTGGGACTATCGATCATCTCTACCAATTATTTTGAAATTATTTGAATTTCTTAATTTGAATTAAAATTTTAGCTTTTTAGTGTGATGCCGACGTCATATTCAAATATGCACGCATTTAGGCCAAAATACATACATATATTAATCGTAAATCCTGTTTTGTTTGTATAACTTGTGTTTGTTTTTGATCTTTCTAAAAAGAGAAGTATTTTGGCTAAGCATTTACTTAATTTTGAATGATTATAACTTTTATAAGATAATATTTATTTCACTACGATCCTGTAAAAACAAAGCAACCTAACTGATTTAGCGCTATCGATAGTGCTATCGATAGTTTGGTTTTTTTCGAGACTATCGTGAATATTGATAGTTTTTCTGAAAACTATCAAAACTATCGATGGTGTGACTATCGATAGTTTGACACCTCTAATAGCAGGAAAACTATTAATTAGAGACACGAAGTTCGATACGATACGATAACATATCGATATTTTTGCCATTCGATAACGATACTTCTTACACGATAGTTTCCAACCGTTATTTTTTGGAATCGAGACCCAGACAGCCCTGTTCGCGTGTTGTCACAGTTCAATTGCATGAACCAATTAGAACAGATCTGACCAGTTGAGAAGCAGCCATTTGTATTAGCAATTGAGAAAAAAGTGTGTGACGCTCGTAATTTTGAAGTTTGCTATTTCTGTTTTGCTTCTCTCTGTATGTGTATTTTGTCGGTGGTTTATTTCAGTGATTTTTTGTGCAAATGTAATTAAAATGAAGGCCGTGGTGATTGGATGCAAAAACACGTACAAAAATAATAAATTGGTTAGCACATACATGTGCACAACATTGCTTGCAGTTTTTCTTTATGCTTCGTCTTCATATTCTTTGTTTACAATTACAATTACAATTACAATTACAAACGTCAGCCAGAAAATTACTTTTTTCGTTTGCTTCATCTTGTCAGAACTTATCGTTGCCTTAATATAGAAAGGCCCTATCTCACATC